AGCCTCCGGAGTAGTTGGGACTACAGGTGCCTGCCACCATACTCAGCTAATTTTTTGTATTTTTAGTAGAGATGTGGTTTCACCGTGTTAGCCAGGATGGTCTCGATCTCCTGACCTCATGATCTGCCCGCCTCAGCCTCCCAAAGTGCTGGGATTACAGGCATGAGCCACCGCACCCAGCCTTGAAATGCTTTTTAAAGAAAATAATCAGAAACATGTTCCTAATTGCCACGAAGAAGGTATGACTTGCTCTGTGTGTGAGAGTGTGTGTGTGTGTGTGTGTGTGTGTGTGTGTACATGTATAGCCTTGTAAATACTGGGGTACTCTACATGCCCTGAGCACCTGAAAAATTTAGTAAATATTTAGACATCAACTGGTTAAAAATAACATTAACTAAAACTTTTTGAGTATGCTATTGAAATAGGGGATGGGTTATGGTATAAATTTATTGGCTGCTATTTAAATGAAAAGAATTACAATGCATTTAATGTTCATTCTAATCAACTGATGTTAGAAGATTGAATTTCAGACTGTAAATGTGGTGTGCACATTTGTCTCTAAGTGAGACTTTGCGTCCCAGCTGTTGAAACGTTTGTGGGAAGGTGAAAGTTTTGTGGACTAATAGATTCCTGCAGTGGGGCACAAGCTTAATGCAGCAAAAGATGTTTTCACTGAAAAGACAAGTCATCTCATCCTTCACAGAGACACAGTCATTCTGGGTACACTTAGGCAAAACTTATTCTCTCAAGAAGAGTCTGTGGCAGTAGGGAATACATACCACATAAGAAAAAGCAGTTTATCCTTCTGAAACACAGAGGGTAACATAGGAAAGTAAAATTTTGTACAGCTCTCAAGATACTACCTGATGCTGTCAGCTAGTATCTTGAGAGTTGTATAAGAGTTGATGTTTAAAACATCAATTGTTTATGAGAAATTGTTTAATTATCATGAAATGTTATTTTTACGTATGGCAGGAGTAGGCAAGAACAAACAAATGAGATCATTAATAAAATGTAAAATGCTTATTTATTTAGATATTATGCTGAGTTAACCCCACCTTAAATCTTTATAGCATAAATGTAAACCCAAAATTTTAAGTAACTTATAAAAAAATTCAAAAAGTTAGTAACTTTCAGAATTAGGATATGATCCCAGGATATCTGACCCTGAAAGCAGTATGTTTAATCAGTATCCTTGCCAACACACACACACACACACACACACACACACACACACAGAGAAAGAAAGTGGGTGGGGGAGAGAGAGCGAGGGAGAGGGGAGAGAGAGACAGAGAGAAAGCCTTTATGGAACTGACCAGGTTACTCTGTTTCTTTTGAGCTTATAAGACTCTTGCAGTGAATAACTTTTGGACTGTTCTTTGGATGGGCAGCCTCTGCTCTTCCTTTTAATAACAGCACCCAGACTTTTCTCTTAGAAACAACCTTCTCACAAATGTTAGCCCATGAACTTCAGACTGACTTCTACCCCAGTTTTAGGAATAGGATGGTTTTAGCCTTAGACAGAATATTTCATTCCCCTGGCCACAGGGATTGATTCATTGTTGTGCATGCAAATCAGTCTAAGCCAGACCCACTGAGACATTTTCTTGAGCTACTAGGAGAAAGACAGGTTCTCTTTCCACCAGGACATGAAATTGGAGGGGATTAATTCAGCCATCATGTCACCAAATGGAGCCTGAGAATGAAGCCAGACTTAGAAGAGCAGAGAAAATTTGAAGTCACTGAATTCAGGCATGTCCAAAGTCAACTCCACCCCTACCCCATACATTTATGTGAACTCATAAAACACATTTTATGGAAGTCAATTGGACTATGTTTTCTATTGTCCCCAATAGCAAGAGTCCCAAGGGATACAATGCTCCTTTACAGGGAAGAAAGGGGCAGCCTGCTTATATAAGCAGAGCAGGGTGTGGAGCCTTAAAGACAGACTTGTGGCAGAAAATGCAATTTTAGGGGCTGACAAAAACATTGTACTAAGTAATTCCTGAACCTTAGGCTCTCCACTGTATGCTGAGACCAGGCCTCAGCCCTGTCCCCGTCATCTCCAGTTTTAGGTTCCTGGAGTTTCAGAAAACAGAGCAGAGAACTCAGATATCCTTAGTGAGAAGATAAAGGACATCACCAAGAGGCAAGAGCTTTGTTTGGTGGCCCAAGACTTTTAATCTTTTCCTACTTCTCTCACTATCTCTGTCACTCTTTCTGTCACTCTGTCTCTCCCTCTACATACACACACACACACACACACACACACACACACACAACCATGCAACCCCTAGCCCCAGAGTCCATGATAAAGGAACTTTGTGAGGAGATGCCACGCCTTTCCTGTTTCTTTTATCTCCAAATTGTACGTAGAAAAATATCTCAGCATGCGTTGCCTGTAACATAATCCAGGCTAAATGCGGAAATTGCAAAGCTGAGGCTGAAATAGACACCACATCCTTAGCTCAATATCATTGAATCTCCTTAAAACAAAATAAAAAGGAAAGGACAAAGACAAATCATACCAGGGAGAATGATTGCCTAAGTAAACTCTTGAGTTTGGTTGGTCTGTCTTTTGTCATTTTAGGCCCAGACTGCCTGCACTGTCAATGTACTTTTGTTAGAAATTATCATTGGCTACGTAAACAGAGCATATCTTTTCACAGCAGCAATAACACACACACACACATACACACATACACACACTCTCCCCGACATTAATGCTTTCTGGTTTTTCTATTGCTCTGTCCAAGACAGAGACAAAAGATTTTTGAGGACTGATGACTTAAAGGAGAAATGTTGCATTTCCTAAAATGAGGGCATCATACTGCTTTTTCTGTCCCACTATTAGCATCTGAGCCTTCAAACAAAAACCCAGGCAAACAAAAGCCAAGGGAACCAGGGCAACCGTCTCCCAAGGGTTAAAACTAGATCAAAATCAAATGGCACGCTTCACCATGTCTTCTGCATGACTGATACTGCA